AAAAGAGTCAATATATAATGCTTTCAGACCCAGCGGTTTCGATTTTCGGCTGTGTGTAGATCGATCATACAGCCAGTCAGTGGTGTCGATTCTGGCGTGATTCTCTAAACTTAAAACTAAATTTAAAATCAGTCTCTCTTTTTCATTCTGTATAGAGAATGGCAAGGAAACACTTTTCAAATTTAAGTTTAGATTTAGAGAATCGTGCCAGAATCGACACCAGTGTTTACTTTTTTAAACATATATCTCGTATAAGAGGTTTCTTGTATATTTTAAATGTTATAATAAGTAACAGATATACGACATAGCAGATTTTCAGCTCGATTGGGGCGTTCTTCTGGGGTAGTAACCCTTACAGAAGACCACAGTATAATAACACTACCTTTTGGTGGTGTTGTTTCTGTCTGTGAGTAAGGTTAGACCTCCACGGGGTAAGGGAATGGGTACAACTAATTAATTAATTACATAACATAATACACATTGGTGTAGACAATGGTGCTAGTTATATTTTTGGTATTGTGAGCGTCTTATAGGCTATGGTAGCGGTATGGTCAATGTTTGCAGAGGCGCGTACTGATTGCTTTTATGCAATAATGCGCAAGCGTAGTGGGTCGTTGCTATCGCGCGTGCGCGCCAGGCCAAACAGTATCGTGCGCGCGCTGTCCGAACGCTGGGATTCACCGCTGCTTATGCGCTGGATCCATCTGCATACAGCGGCGGTGACTCCTTAGTTGTTAATCTTATTATTAATATGTTTGTTTTTGTTTTTAATCTTATTTTATTTTATGAATTCAATTTACTAACACTAGATTTGTAAGCATAATTGTTACTAACCATTATGGATGAATAATCTGATAAAAATGTTATTATTACTATTATAATCATAATCATATTTATTGCTTTTTCATGTAGTTGTAAAGAGGTGTTACAAAGCGTTCATTTAGATCGTTACACGAACCATTGCTAGGGCATAGCAATGTGTTTAAAGAGCTTGTTAATTTTTTTAATAAATAAATATAAATTTAAAACACATCAAAAATCTTACTTATCAATAAAATTAATAAAATCCTATGTCATAAAAATTGCATTAAATAAATTACACATTATAATTATTAAATAAATTATATCACAATAAAAATCTAAAAATCATCATTTTAATTCTTTGTCATTAAAATACTCTTGCAGTGTATAGGCAGGCTACGCTATTCACAAAGAAAATTATTGTTTATTTCACAGTACAAAAAAATATGTAACTGAAACGTTCTGCTATAATTATATGTGTGATAATAAATAAATAAATATTTCCAAGACTCACACCAATTAGCCTAGCCCCAAAGTAAGCACTGTGAGGCTTGTGCTTTGGGATACCAGGGTATTATTAACGGATAGAATACATATACTGTACATATATAAGCATATTTTATATAGAAATACATATTAAACGTCCATGACTGGAGTACAAATGCTCGTATTCATCACACAAACATCTGCCCCCACCGGGATTCGAACCCGGGACCTCTCGAGTCGGCAATACCATGAAACCCGGCGTACGAACCACTCGGCCACGAAGGTTAAGCTTCTATCCAGTCTAGTTGAACTTCTAAGTAGGTATAGATACGTATAGAGTTGGGGAGCATCGATCAACGTGTGATAGTAATTGATTGATGATCTCCGCCCTTGTCTAATAATAGCATAGAGTTCCACGCCATAGGGATGTCGAAAGTTGAGAAAAATAACGATATATCGATACATCGATCTTTTAAAAAATATCAATATCGGCTTCGATATATCGCGAAAAAAACATCGATATATCGATATACCGGACCAATTTTCCCAAAAATATTGTACAGTAGCTCACGAAATATGACACGCGGAATTATAATGGAACGAAAATTATCTCCCTAAAAATAGACCCTATTTTCGAATGATGACATAGACAATACTAAATACAGCACAGATCATAGATATGTTGAATATCATTAATCTGAGATCCAGTTACGATTTTTCCAGAGACGAATTTAGTTAGATCGTGATATGCCGCTAATAATAAAAAAAATATCGTTTTTCATACGAATTTCGATATTGGTTATTTTGTATCGATGTATCGATATATCGAATCAAAATATATCGGCAAAAAATATCGATATATCGAACAAAAAATATCGATTTAACGATACATCGATATATTTTCAACAAGCCTACCAAGCCAACTAATTTGAGCCGGAGTTTGCTTCAATATAAAAATAAATCTGCTGGTGACATGTAGGTTCGACGAGTAATTTATCTGCGGGCAGTGGTAAAAAATATTGCCTTAAGTTTGAGTCGATCGCGTACAGGATGGGTTCTGTATTATTATACAAGATTCATAGCTATTTAGCTTCAGGTCGAACTAATGACGTCGTTTAAATAACGCTTCTTACAAGTACATACTTAATCTTGAGAAACTTTAATTACGGAAAATCTAAATTTTCTTTCATCTATTAATCAGATTAGATTTATTTATTGCAAAACAAAATAAATAAAGTTTCGTGCATTAACCCGTAATAAACTTACTCTACTCTTTTATTTAAAAGACTTAATGATCAAAGTACTCTTTGACAGAAAACATAAAAAGTTCGAATTTGATCCTATAGTGAAAATACCACTAATTTTAATTAGTTTTTATAATGGTGTCGATTCTGGCATGATTCTCTAAACTTAAAACTAAATTTAACATCAGTTTCTCGTTCTCATTTTTTATAAAGAATGACAAGGATAAACTGTTGTCAAATTTAAGTTTAGCTTTAGAGAATCATTCCAGAATCGACACCAATATCATACTAAACTAAGAGCTACAGAACAACTGGTGGAATGCGCTTGTTGACAACTTTGCCTAACAGTCTTTTATAATATATTTCATGAAGCTAAATCTTATTATTTAGGTAACCTACTTACCTGATTAAGAATTTTTACTAAAAGGGCGAGCGTATCGACGAAAAAGCGTGAATGGAAATTTCACCCAGTGACACCACGAAGTGAATAACGAAACGGAGCTTTTTATCACCAAGGAAAAATTAATTTCATCGTCACCTCATTAAGCGGATCGGCTGATTAGCATAAGCGTGACTAAGGTCTCGTTTTCACGTCGCGGTTCCTACCCGTACTACGGTTCCTACCCGTACTACGGTTCCTACCCGTACTACGGTTCCTACCCGTACTACGGTTCCTACCCGTACTACGGTTCCTACCCGTACTACGGTTCCTACCCGTACTACGGTTCTGCGGCGATCTACCCTGAAGGGATAGATCCTGGGGGCGTAGTTTTATCAAATGGAAAACAACTTATATGTTAAACTCTTTTATTTTATTTGTTTCTTAGGTTTTCACGCACATCACTCATTAAATAAAACTAGTTTTCAAGTTTCGTAGCCTTTACAGGCTTCATCGTCAGAATTCAGAATTTCTGACGACGAAGCCTGTAAGGGCTACGAAACGTCAATAAATAAATAAAGTTTCGTGCACTAACCCGTAAAAACTACTCTTTTATTTTATTTGAAATCAATGCGCATATAATATTTGTATCTTAATCTATCAACGTATGGTTTGGTGCCTGAAGTCTATCTGCTGGAACCTTCTATCAAACGACAGACGATTCCCAATTTCAAATCTTTAAAAATCATGACATTACCTTTTTAATATAACTGCCAGCCGTAGGCATTACATGAACAAAGAGTTTACCCAAACAAGGAGGCTGTAACGCAACGGACGTTATAGTTCCTACCAGTACTACCTATGGGTACGGCCAGAGTGCACTCAGATTCAGATTCAGACTCAGAAAACAAGCGCGAGAAATATACAGTGTAGTTTAAGCAGGTTGCCTGCTGCCACTATGGCCACCCTGCTTTAACTACACTGTTTATTTCTCGCGCTTGTTTTCTGAGTCTGAATCTGAATCTGAGTGCACTCTGGCCGTACCCTACCTTTTGAGACCGAAGCGTAACTGAGGATGACGCAAGATAAACTGTTAATCTGATTCACGGAATGTTTACCCAGTGATCGTATCTAAATCACGTTTAAAAGTCAATTTCATACGGTAGATTTCGTTTACTAAAGCGGATAGGTTACCAGCCTACAACCGTTTCTGAATATGAAAAAAGCTGGTACTGCAAAGGTACTTGATGTATCAGACTCCAATAATCAACCCTATTTCGTATAGCTTAGAATTCAGGCAACGATATTCATTCAAAGGTTATAACGAGCCGATCTATGATATGTCCTAGTGTCCCTTCTATACTAGTTTTATTTAAATTGCTTTGCAAACTGAGCTATTACCTGTATTGTACCATTCGTAAGAACGTTACGTAGAAATGCTCTATTGTATACTCACCTAAAGGAAAGCGGTCATCAAGTTCTTTTTCTATATATATATATATATATATATATATCACACTAATATTATAAAGGCGAAAGTTTGTGAGTGTGAGTGTGTGTGTGTATGTTTGTTATTTCTTCACGTCTAAACGGCTGGAGCGATTTGAATAAAATTTGGTATGGAGTTAGCTGACACCCTAGATTAACAGATTAATACATAGGCTACTTTTATCCCGAAAAAATGTTAGGTTCCAGAGGGATTTTCAAGAAACTAAGTTAACGCAGACGAAGTCGCGGGCGACCTCTAGTATATATATATACACATTCATATTTCACACTATTTATATATATATATATATAGAAAAAGAACATATATATATATATATATATATACAATTGTGTTTAAATATCATGATGTACACCGCGGCAAACTTCTTGAGTAACGACCATAGATAAGGAAGCTCGCGCAGTAGCAATTTTACTTAGGAACACTACTGCGCAAGTCTTTTGTCTGTGGTTTTGCTTCAGAAGTTTGCTGTCACCTATACGTGATCCATGCAGTCTTCCAAAAGCTGCACGATCCTTCCTAAAGCGGTCGCTCAAGTTTACAGGAAATCAATTGTACCCTTACTCCCTTATCTTTGTTCCAGATTACTCAGTCTAGACGTGTCATCGTTAGAAGATGTATACTGGTTGGAAGACTCAGCAGCGCGCCACGTGCTGGAGTCGAAGGACTTCGGCGCGTGGTCGGCGGCGCGGCAGAGCCTGCCTACCGGCAAGGAGGCGCTTCAAACCCTCAAGGCGGACCTCTGGAGCGCCGTCGTCAAGAACAGCAAGCACCAGGACGCGTGGACATGGGGTGAGCAATTCACAAACTAGAACTGGACGAAACTGACACTTAGAGCCTTCCCACCGGCAAGGAGGCGCTGCAGACCCTCAAGGCGGACCTCTGGAGCGCCGTCGTCAAGAACAGCAAGCACCAGGACGCGTAAACATGGGGTGAGTAGTTCACAAACTAGAACAGGACGTAAACTGACACTCAGAGCCTTCCCACCGGCAAGGAGGCGCTGCAGACCCTCACGGCGGATCTCTGGAGCGCCGTCGTCAAGAACAGCAAGCACCAGGACGCGTGCACATGGGGTGAGTAGTTCACAAACTAGAACAGGACGTGCACTGACACTCAGAGCCTTCCCACTGGCAAGGAGGCGCTGCAGACCCTCAAGGCGGACGTCTGGAGCGCCGTCGTCAAGAACAGCAAGCACCAGGACGCGTGGACATGGGGTGAGTAGTTCACAAACTAGAACAGGACGTAAACTGACACTCAGAGCCTTCCCACCGGCAAGGAGGCGCTGCAGACCCTCACGGTGAATCTCTGGAGCGCCATCGTCAAGAACAGCATGGGGTGAGTAGTTCACAAACTAGAACAGGTCGTAAACTGACACTCAGAGCCTTCCCACCGGCAAGGAGGCTCTGCAGACCCTCAAGGCGGACCTCTGGAGCGCCGTCGTCAAGAACAGCAAGCACCAGGACGCGTGGACATGGGGTGAGTAGTTCACAAACTAGAACAGGTCGTAAACTGACACTCAGAGCCTTCCCACCGGCAAGGAGGCTCTGCAGACCCTCAAGGCGGACCTCTAGAGCGCTGTCGTCAAGAACAGCAAGCATCAGGACGCGTGGACATGGGGTGAGTAGTTCACAAACTAGAACACGTCGTAAACTGACACTCAGAGTCTTCCTACCGGCAAGGAGGCGCTGCAGACCCTCACGGCGAATCTCTGGAGCGCCGTCGTCAAGAACAGCATGGGGTGAGTAGTTAACAAACTAGAACAGGTCGTAAACTGACACTCAGAGCCTTCCCACCGGCAAGGAGGCTCTGCAGACCCTCAAGGCGGACCTCTGGAGCGCTGTCGTCAAGAACAGCAAGCACCAGGACGCGTGGACATGGGGTGAGTAGTTCACAAACTAGAACAGGTCGTAAACTGACACTCAGAGCCTTCCCACCGGCAAGGAGGCTCTGCAGACCCTCAAGGCGGACCTCTAGAGCGCTGTCATCAAGAACAGCAAGCATCAGGACGCGTGGACATGGGGTGAGTAGTTCACAAACTAGAACACGTCGTAAACTGACACTCACTCACTTCCTACCGGCAAGGAGGCGCTGCAGACCCTCACGGCGAATCTCTGGAGCGCCGTCGTCAAGAACAGCATGGGGTGAGTAGTTAACAAAGTAGAATAGGACGTAACACTAACGCTCAAAGTCTGCCCACCGGCAAGGAGGCGTTGCAGACTCAAGGCCGACCTCTGGAGCGCCGTCGTCAAGAACAGCAAGCACCAGGACGCGTGGACATGGGGTGAGTAGTTCACAAACTAGAACAGGACGTAAACTGACACTCAGAGCCTTCCCACCGGCAAGGAGGCGCTGCAGACCCTCAAGGCGGACGTCTGGAGCGCCGTCGTCAAGAACAGCAAGCACCAGGACGCGTGGACATGGGGTGAGTAGTTCACAAACTAGAGCAGGACGTAAACTGACACTCAGAGCCTTCCCACCGGCAAGGAGGTGCTGCAGATCCTGAAGACGGTCCTCTGGAGCGCCGTCGTCAAGAATATGAAGCACCAGGACGCGTGGGACATGGGGTGAGTAGTTAACAAACTGCAAAAGGACATAAAGTGACAGTTGAAATGTGTCCATGAAGTTCTTTTGTGCTTTAGAAAGCACGTTAAAGCGAAACGTGGTTTCTGAATCACGAATGTTCTATTGGTAATAGTTTCTAGCTAGCCATAGCGTAAGTTGCTGAGTTCTACAATTTCAGGATGAACGTTCTAGTGCTGACCACTGAGTCGTTTAAGCTGTACACTCGTCCATATTGTAGTTTAAAGAGTATCAGAATTTGGCGGTAATAATCTTATACATAGACTTGCTGACATAAAAATAGGGGCAGGTGGTAGAAGAGAAAATTTTGGGGTTGTTATGTATTTTTAATACCACATTGTAAAAAAATAAATATTGTCCAAAAAAAATTGAGGTGTGTGTAACGTAGTGTTCTATCAATTTCTTGGGATAACATTCCTCCTAACCCATATGAGAACACTACGTTACAATACCCAATAGTATGAATTTTGGCGCGAAGGCGCATTATAGGTTTCAGAACACTATGTTACAGGTGGACAACCATTATCACTTAAGGATATGAAAAATAGATAGTAGCCGATTCTCAGACCCACGGAATATGCATATAAAATTTCATTAAAATCGGTCAGACTGTTTCGGAGGAGTATGGTTACTAACATTGTGACACGAGAATTTTATATATAAGATATAGTTATTACTCTAAATCACGATAGAAGCATACGGCACATTAGTTTCTCATTTGAGTCTCACCTCACCTAAAATGCTGAGTCATTAAGCAATTGTCGGCTTAGTCTAATGTACCCTAATACCGGCTGTCAGACTGTCTAGCCTACCACGAAGTTCTGTTACATGAGAATTTGGGGATTTTTGAAGTTATACTTCTTTAGGCGCGTTATGAAAAAATGATGAGAGTGAAATTTTTAGATGCGCGCGCATCACTGTAATCCAAAAGTAACAGCACGAAGTTGGACGCGGGCGCGTTATGAAAAAATCATGTGAGTGAAATTTCGAGATGCGCGCGCATCACTGTAACACAATAGTAACACCATGAAGTTGGCCGCGGGCGCGTTATGAATGTTAGTGTCTAATAATGGTGGATTATTAACCACTTAGTGGTTAATAATCCACCATTATTAGACATCTGTTCGAAAGGTACTTTGAACGATCCACGGAGCTCCATAAGATGATCGCGTTGTCAAAAACAATGTTGGCACGCTCGTCGCCTCTGATCACTGTTTTCATATTTATAATATTTATCCACATGTTTCTAGTTTCTATATAGACACAACGTGTTTTAGTTACTTACAAGTGCTAATTACATATGGACTAATAACTTAAATTCAGTATTTGATTATTTTGAATATTTGATTGAATATTTATTTAATTTTTCAAATTAAAACTGAACTTAATTGACTGTGTTAACTATCCTTTTCCAGTCCTTTTATTATTTTATTGTAATTATTAATTATTTGCATGCAATTAAAAAATATTTTTAATGATGCTAAAGAAGTATAACTTCTCACGCGCGTACATAAGTTACATGCATCCATTTTTTTTCTTGTATTAACGAACTTTTCCAATTTACGGAAGTAATAAATAATATCAGTGTTTATAACAGGCAATTATTCGGGTGTCCGCTTGGCTCGTCTGTACAACGATATCGCTAAAAAGTTGCCAGAGATAGATATCCATTTTCAAAGCTATTCTGAGCTTATGAAACTGCTTAAAAAAGCTGACGCCATTTGTCCGCTGTTGCTTATAGTTGGTGCTTCCTTTTATATGCTGATTTTATGTATTTATGTGCTTGCTTATTTTGTTGTTTTTTTTTATTAACGCATGCTGCGGCTACCTTTGATTGTACCAAAAATCTGCTGTACCTTATGTTGGTGACCCTTATAAATAAATAAATTATTCAATATATATCATAAGTACCTCATTTATAAAACTTGTAATTGGTTCTTTGTCGCTACTATTCATTTCTAGTATATTAAGATAAGCTGTTGGTCTTCCATGTAACCAAAATAAATAAATAAATATCTTAATGCATTAGACTTGGTGCACCGGTACGATTTCCAAGATTCGGTTTTCTGATCAGGAATTCCTATTCGGAATGAAACTAGAATGGTCGTCCTAACAAACAAAATGTTTGATAAGGCACATTCTATTCTTATTTTTTAAAATGCTTTAAAGCTAACTTTATCTTCAATTCAATTCAATTCAATTCATTTATTGCAGACCATAATGGAGATACAAAGGTGGTAACATATAGATAAATAGTGCATTATGGACCCTGTAGTGTAGGGTATCGCAATTGCATCTTTGGACTGTAACTAATAAAATAACCCAATCGTCTGCACTGGCCTCACGGAATTCCGAATCTGAATTGCTGCTCAGAAAACCGTGCATGTGCGCCCAGTCTTGACAAATTCATCAAAGTTCATATTGCTGATAATGATGATATGCTTTGCCGCTATTGATAAATTTTCTCGATGACATAGCACGAAATTTGACTCATGTCTGATAATGCAATAGAAACTTGTTCAAGTGGCTTGATCAATCAAGCCAAACTGATTGGGGGGCCATTCGCCTAACGGAAATGCTTTGGAAAACGCTAAGGCTTACGATTTCATTTTGTTAGTTCGCGCCTGAGGCACAGCGGTGACACTCCCTGTAGGTGAGAGTTCCAGCGTCAGTGACCTTGAGCAGGAGCGTGTATGCGCTAGGGTTGAACTTGGAATTTAGACTAGTGCCAATGAATATTTATGCATAGTAAGTTATTAAATGTAAACGGATTCAAGAATACTGGGGTAAATAATGAAGGATATTGTTTGATTTTATAATCAATTTTTAATCATTTAACGTAGGTACTATAACAAATTGCTAACTTTTATATATTTTCTCCTTTTTCGATTCGTTTTATAATTCTTATTATTATCTAAATAATAATAAGATTGCGTAGCGTAGTCAGTCTGTGCGTGCAATGCAGTGTAACGCTATTATTTTACTATTTCGCTACTGCCATGCCTTCGGTCGAGGCAGTCGGCGACTGCCCTCTCCACGTCCCGCGCGCCGCGCAACGCCCCCGCGCACCTCCAGACACCCACACATAGTCGCGGGCGATTTTACGAGCACACATGCTTAAGTGTCGCTTCTTTTCGCGTAGTGTATATCTTCTGTGCCTGAGGTTTTCAAATGCCTCGCGCTCTTTTTTTTTATTGCATTGGCATTGGTAATAACAATATCAAAAAAATAGCGTAAGGTATTTGAAAACCTTCGGCGGTCAGAAATAACAAAATAAAATCTAAAGCGTTAGCGTTTTCCAAAGCATTTCCGTTAGGCGAATGGCCTCCTGGTGTGGGGAGACGTTTTTGAAGGACATGTCACTTGACGGAAAGATTAGAGCTTGATCAAGCAGCACGATGGTGTGTGGTCACTATAACCGCATTTCCTAACATTAGTTGTCCATGTGATGAAAGTATCTCAGTCCTTACTCTCCGTGTTGTTGTCAGGCGGCATGCTGGTGGTGTCGGTGTCAGTATGCGGGCTGGTGACGCTGGCCGCCATGACGCAGCCCGCGCTGGCGCCCGAGGCCAAGCACTCGCTGCTGCAGTACGTCACCGGGAAGTACCTGCACCCGCCCAGCTGTAGGGTGAGCGCGTATTGACTTCTTGTCCTCATATCCAGGGCTAGGTTTGAGGCAGCGCAGGCCGTGGCCTAGAGGCCTCAAAAACAAATGATTGAAGCGTCTTCAAATATTGGGGCTGCGTAAACAGTTAGTGGTCCGGCCCAGATTTAGGAGCTGTCACTCCTTCGTTCCGGTTCTCTCATATCCGTTGCTAAGTCATCAGAAAAACTTTAAACTTAAATGTCGGTGAATGTGGAAAAGTTATCCATGCAGCAACGATAATATTAAATACCCTAGCTTCACCGCGTGCGCTCAAAATGTGTCCCAATCAATTGTTGGGATACATTGTGATTGGTTCGTTGTTCACAGTCGTGGTACACAGTCATGCGCGGACCGTTGAAAAGTCTAGACGTGAAAAAAAAGCGGAAAAAAGTTTAAAGTACGTAAACTGTCGTTTACTCGACAGGTATCTAAATCAATGTTTGTTAATTTAACGCATTTGAAGCATTGGTTCTGCCTGTTGATCTGTAATATAAAAACGAATCGCTGAATGTGTTGCTAAGCGCAAATCTCGAGAACAGCTGAACCGATTTCGATAATTCTTTTTTTAGAATATTCCTTGAAGTACGAGGATGGTTCTTGCGCAGAGAAAAATTAAAACAATTGCCTGAAAAGTTCAAAAACAACACTTTTCTATACTCCCATACAAGCGATTCGTAATAATACTTGAAAGTCAATTGGAACTTTAATACCTTACCATAAATTTCAAATTTTAGTGGAAGGGTTCCGGGAAGGCAAAAAAATTGAGTGAAGTGATGTCAATAGAAGTTTGGAAAAGGCCAATATACCATTTTCAGTTTTTTTTTAATAATATGAAGAGTCATTTTAGTCTACACTATATCTCCACACCGAATCGAAGCGAGGGCGGACCACTAGTACTTACTATAAATTGATTTAATAGAAAAAAATAAAATATTCAAATGCATAGTCAGTTATATAGCCGTATCTTTTCCTCGCGGTCCGTACCTGCTATATTGCTAACAGCGCATTCAGAATTGCGTGTAGAGTCAAAGATATAAGGTCTATATTCTTTTGCATATCGCAATAAATCGTAAAATTGTCTTATCTCTTTAACACATGCGTTTTAATTAATACCCTATACAGTATGCATTAAAGGTCACTTTAAATTTTTTAATAATGCCTTATATTGTTTTTTACAACGCGATCATCTTACGGAGCTCCGTGGATAGTCCAATGTACCTTTTGGACAGGTTTAGGCTACGATTTTGTTCGTGTTGTTGCATCTAGGGTATTTAATATCGTTGCCCTGCAGCCATATTCCTAGTAGACATATATATATTAATACAATTTATATAAATAGAAAAATAACAAGCAAACTGCACAACACTACACTTAGTGATTTACACTTTTCATTGGGGTGGAGTTAGTATGCTCACATGAGGTCACAGCTCTTCACACTGTATAAGGTCCTAATTAAAACGCATGGGTCAAAGAGTTATGACAGTCCGAGATGTAAGCTCGTAAAAATTTACGACTTATTGCTATGTACAGACCTTATTTCTTTGACTCTACTTCTGAATACGCTGTTAGCAATATAGCAGAAACGGACCGCGAAGAAAGGAGACGGCTATATTACCGACTATGCATTTAAATATCACAAATATTTTCTATTAAATCAGTTTATAGTAAGTATTTAAACAAAATTTGCTTGAAATGCGTTAAATTAACAAACATTGATTAGATACCTGTCGAAAAAACGACATTTTACATACAATAAGTATTTATTTCGCATTTTTTCACGGAGCTCAGCGGCATGTTGACTTTTCAACGGTCTGCGCGTGACTGTGAACCAAGAAGTGCTTGGGTCGTGTTCAAGCACTTCTTGATAGGGACACATTTTGAGCGCACGTGGTGTATCTAGGGTATTTAATATCGCTGACTGTTCTTTCAAATTAATAATATACTAACAATAAAACTTTATATAGTATGGAATAACGTAACATATAACTATTATCCTCCAATATACTTATCAACAGAGTCTGAGCAACATTAACTTTTTTTAACTAGTGACAGAATTTTAATGTTTTGAAAAAGTACTAAATTTTTTTGATATTAATAACCAAATTGACTTTTAGTCATTAAAGCAAAATAATCTTTGAATAAATTACAAATAGATACATGATAAATGGATAGATGGATAATACGTATATTATTTTCTTATACATTTCATAACGATAATATAAAATGACAACTGATAAAACTTGCAGTATGCGTAAAATAATGCCTGTTGCTTCGATTTCTTTGATGTGTGTATAGTAACGACTTAGTATATTCTGAGCCAGCGTTAAACCAGCCATGATCATATCTCACAAATAGGCGAGCATGCCAACTACATTGTACCTAATGAATAACACAAACATATGGACCTCTATTGTAATGAAAAATTATATTAACAGTTTATTTTAATACGCCCGATCCTTGCACTCTTAATACAGTGTTTCATACAGTGCTACCTTCGATCAACAATACTATAGATACCGGGTCAGCGCGTAAATCCGCCTTTTCAATTTATTCGGTTAATACACAGCCACTGTGGTTAGGTCGGTAAAGGGTCGTATGTACGAGATAACATTTCGTTATTTGTCACTTTATTCCTTTGTGACATGGTTGTTATTAGGTTCAACTTAAACCTAGGGATGAAACGATACGAGTAAATACAAGTAACTACTCGATACTTTTCTTTCGATACCAAGTACTTTTGGCATCGATACTTAAGAACTGAGTAACAAGTTGTATCGTAAAGAAAGTACTTGTATCGGTACTCGGTCGGTAACTCACTGAGAAGTATCAAAAAAACTCATAGGCAGATTATGTACTCTACGGTAAGGTGTCTAGTTGGAATTTTTGTTTCGCGAACGCATCTTTTCTACTGCTCAGTTGGCGGCCTTGCGTATGATTTATATTTTTTCCAATTTATTCAGTCAGTCATTCGTTCATCGCGTGCCGTGAGCCGTTATTTTGTTTTCGTTATATTAAAACTGTGACTGAATTTGTACTTGTAATATCTTTCGTCAAAATTTATCGATACAAGTAAGTATCGATACTTTTCATTCGATTCCGAGTAGGAATCGATACTTTATGAACGATACAGTATCGAGTAAAAGAATCTAAACCTAGATGGTATCGTTTCATCCCTGCTTAAACCGTTTTAAAACATTTGCCTTGTTCATTGGGAATCGAATGCATCTGCATAAGTATATATTCACGCGGACAGTTTTTAGCTTTGATTTTATGCAACCCGTCATCTAAAGAATAGGGTATTCGACAGTATCAAAAATAAAGTGCCAATTGTTAGCATCTGTGTTTAGAATGAATATTGGCAGGGAGGGGTTTTACTATTTTTACAAAAAAGAATATTCATAATTTTACTAGAAACCCACGAAAAAGATAATAGTTTTCTTATCTATTGTCACGTGATCCAAAACGCTTGAGATTGGTGGAGCCTAAAATGACGTCACACGCAAGTAAACTTCCGGTTAAAGTGACATCACATTGTATCGTTTGACGTATTTTGACGTATTTAATCACAGTCGTGTGACGCCACACACTAGTAAGACGCCATATTGTCCAGAGAAACGTTTTCGTGGCAACTTGAAAATGCAGTTTTTGATTTGGTTATTTTTACTGAAATACACAACAGAATGATGAATATCCACTTTTTACGGACTTTATAAACATAAGTCAATAACGTGAGATCGTTTTCTAAAACTTGTCAAATACCCTATTGTTTATCGAAGATTGCTACAATAGCCTTCATAATCATGTTGACTTTATTCGATATAACTCTTCTAATAATGCATTGATTTTAACCGGGACATTGTTGAATATATGTTTTTTTTTAAATCTTACAAAGCTTTTAAAGGCTCTGTCATCAACAGTTTACCAGCATTTGTTGCTTCTATTCCATAACGCATGTGGTCTTCACCTATAATTGTAATAACATTAAGCTTAAGTATTTTATCATTACCTGCTAGATTGTTGTGTCAATGTTTATTATGTTGGTGATCATATAAATAAATAACATTTATTAACATTCTATACAGTGTTACTTAATTCTACCATTTCATGTGTCGTTAACAATAACCACATTATCATTAACATTGACTAACACCGGAGGGGTATCGGGTAACATTACTAACATTTGAACTCCAGGTGGAGTGGGGGTGGCAGGAGCCGCAGGTGGTGGGGGAGACGATGTGCTTCACGGTGTTCTGTTTCCAGCGCAACGGGCAACCCTACCCCATCTGCGATACTGACGAGCTCACGGCTGTCATCTCGCTCGGCACTAGGAAGGTGGGAATGCGGCCTCACTCGTCGCATCATTCAATTCAATTCAATTTATTGCACTCATGTGGTTACATCGATGGTTACAAAATGTCAGCATAGTTGCCTTCCAAGCAGTTGATCCGGCTCGAAGGACCACAATGTCGGACGGTGCCGTGATGCTGCCGAACGACCTATTTGATAGATCTTGATAACTTGACAATAAAAACTCCTTGACGATTATAGAATGTTTATTTTCTTGATATACGAGCGTACAATTACTTGATACACACACGACTAACTGTACAATCAAATAATATTAAATAAGTAAACTATTTCGCTGACACGGAAACATGTGCGGTAATTGGACCGCACACCTATAGTACCTAACATGAACCCTGTCAGGGTATCGCAATATACAGTACAGTTAAAGATAAAAATTACAAAAGAATTTAATTAATAAACAATTATGAATATAAGGAAGCTAATTTGTATTAAATCACTTACATCTCAAATTATGCATAAATGTCATCTGATTCCATTAGTTTAACAATATAACTTACTCAATAGATCTTATTAACAGTAGAAATATAATAGAAATGGAAATTCATTTATAAAATTAAATTAAATTTGCCAGTAATTAAAATTAATAAATATGTCAATAAAATAAAATAATACGTCAATTAACATGATTATTATATGCTAGGTTTGTATTATCATCATCATCAGCCTATTAATGTCCCCACTGCTGGAGCACAGACCTTCCCTATGCAGGGATTGGGCCATGCCCCACCACGCGGGACCAGTGCGGATTGGCAGGTGCTAACGACTGCATATGCAGCCGGGACCAACTGCTTAACGTGCCTTGGGCAACCCTACCCCATCTGAGATACTGACGAGCTCACGGCTGTCATCTCGCTCGGAACTAGGAAGGTGGGAATGCGGACTCACTCGTCGCATCTTCATCATAATCAGCCTATTAATGTTCCCACTGCTGGGGCATAGGCCTTCCCTATGGATAGAATAGGGAGATTGGGCTATGCCCCATCACGCGGGACCAGTGCGGATTGGCGGGTGCTACTGCATATGCAGCTGGGACCAACTGCTTAACGTGCCTTCAGAAGCACGGAGGAACTTTAGATAGGCGATTTTTGGTCACCCATCCAAAGACGTTAAGAGTTGCTTAACTTCAATGATCGCAGCCGAATGCATTTATCGCTTGCGCCATCGAGCTCCTTAACTCGTCGCATAACCACAGATAAATGAACTTGCGAAGTAGCCAGAGGCAGCAGGCTGTGAAGGGGTCATTCTTGAGGAGCGGGGTGCAAATTGTAAGTAGTATGTACAATAAGAGACGATTGAGGGAATTGAGGAGTTCGATAGTGTAAGTGGTTACGCGTTCGGCTGCGATCGTTGAAGTTAAGTAACTTTTGCAGTGGTTAGTGGCTAGTATAGTTACCGGAGGTTGTATACATAGAAAAATTTTCTAGAAAAAAAATCCACGCAGACAAGGCAGTAGCAAAAAAAATCTAGAAAAGAAAAACTTTAGTTTTAAACAACTAGCAGTTACATGTTTAAAAAATATAACTGGAATTGCTATTTCTTCTTTCAAATGTTTAATACTTGTAAAGGTAATAGTGAGAGGTGAAAGGAAGAAGTGAGGAAAGAAAATAGAAAATAAATATAAGGTATAAAGGATGGGAGTACGAAGAGTGTAAATCGGTCAAACTCCTTACTTGACAAGTAAAAAATGATGCTTGGCAAGGGGCCTGTACGAGCTGTACATACCTACTTAAGCAACATTATAATAATGTCAAATTGACAAAAAGGGTTCGGTTTTATTTAGCACTCCTTGGAGTAACCTTAACCTTTCGCAGGCATTCAATTGTGGAAAGCAAACCCCACATTTTTGGTCCTTCAAGCCGGATACAGGATGATCTTACAGTACCAGTAGAAAAAACACAGCTTAACGAGTTGTACAAAACTTGAAGATTGCTTCCGCTATGGGAAGCAAACCCCACAGGGCCTGACCACTTAGAAATGATTAGCAGTTTCTTAAATTACGTCAGATGCAAAATACATAGTACACAATAGCTTCCTTAGCTTTCTAATCATATGTACAGACAGCCACAGGCCGAGCGAACGAAACACATTAAATATTAAGTATTCCACAGTCGGATGTCGGCCGGGGTGGCGATTTGATATGAACATTTGATTGCAGATAACCCCGGTGATAGAGCTGGGTTCGGGGGACCCGGCGCTGGCGCACACGGCGCGCGTGCACTTCACCGTGCGCGCCGCCGGCATCTACACCATCACCGTCACCATCGGTGCGTGCCGGACTCATTACTGGCAGGGGGGGGGGGGGGGGGGGGCTATCACCCCGGGGATAGAGCTGGGGTCGGGGGACCCGGCGCTGGCGCACACGGCGCGCGTGCACTTCACTCCCCTTCTGGGGAGGACAGCCCCATATAACCACCTGAAATGTGGTATGAAATTTCATGCATTTCCCGAGGGAAATTTCATGATTTCAAAAAAAGGGGGGGCTATCACCTCGCACCTCGGTGATAGAGCTTGGGTCGGGGGACCCGGTGCTACGAAACATTTAGTTATTTAAACTTTCTTAAATTTTGTGTGATTTGTGTTAATATTACATTAATTCCGGTATAGGCGGTGCGGGCGTACTCGGCAGTCCTTTCCGGCGTCGCTTCATCGCGGGCGCGGTCTGCGCGCGTCTGTCGCGCGTGCGGCGACACAGCGCGCTTGTATGCTGCGCCAACACTCCGCGCGCCGTCATACTGCACCCACGAGACACCCACGACAACCCCGCGCCGCTGCCCCGCCCGCCCGCCGTGAGTATGTGGGAGGGGCACACAGCGCCCCGTGTGCTGCGCCAACACTCCGCGCGCCGTCATACTGCACCCGCGCGACACAACCCCGCGCCGCTGCCCCGCCCGCCCGCCGTGAGTATGTGGGAGGGGCACACTGCGCCCCGTGTGCTGCGCCAACACTCCGCGCGCCGTCATACTGCACCCGCGCGACACAACCCCGCGCCGCTGCCCCGCCCGCCCGCCGTGAGTATGTGGGAGGGGCACACAGCGCCCCGTGTGCTGCGCCAACACTCCGCGCGCCGTCATACTGCACCCGCGCGACACAACCCCGCGCCGCTGCCCCGCCCGCCCGCCGTGAGTATGTGGGAGGGGCACACAGCGCCCCGTGTGCTGCGCCAACACTCCGCGCGCCGTCATACTGCACCCGCGCGACACAACCCCGCGCCGCTGCCCCGCCCGCCCGCCGTGAGTATGTGGGAGGGGCACACAGCGCCCCGTGTGCTGCGCCAACACTCCGCGCGCCGTCATACTGCACCCGCGCGACACAACCCCGCGCCGCTGCCCCGCCCGCCCGCCGTGAGTATGTGGGAGGGGCACACAGCGCCCCGTGTGCTGCGCCAACACTCCGCGCGCCGTCATACTGCACCCGCGCGACACAACCCCGCGCCGCTGCCCCGCCCGCCCGCCGTGAGTATGTGGGAGGGGCACACAGCGCCCCGTGTGCTGCGCCAACACTCCGCGCGCCGTCATACTGCACCCGCGCGACACAACCCCGCGCCGCTGCCCCGCCCGCCCGCCGTGAGTATGTGGGAGGGGCACACAGCGCCCCGTGTGCTGCGCCAACACTCCGCGCGCCGTCATACTGCACCCGCGCGACACAACCCCGCGCCGCTGCCCCGCCCGCCCGCCGTGAGTATGTGGGAGGGGCACACAGCGCCCCGTGTGCTGCGCCAACACTCCGCGCGCCGTCATACTGCACCCGCGCGACACCCACGACAACCTTGGCCAAGATAAGCCGGCTACAGAAAAAGAAGCAGGTCGCAAACTTGATGCATAGACGACGTCACACGCATTCTGTTCTCTAGTCGAGACAGTTACAGTAGCATGAAACAGAAATGCATGGCAATCTCTGGAGGAGACCTTCTAGACCTGAGAGGGGAGAGCAAAAAATTAAAGGCTTTATTTTATTTTTTATTTTTATTTTATTTTATTGATTTAGGTAACAAACGGTCTCTAACAGTAATATTTGCTTAAATTAAATAATGTATGACTAGACCTATAGTACCATAACTTAAATTAATATTATGTTTAAACAAATTGATTAACTTCTTAGTTACTGTTTACAAAATGTTTCAAAATTTTTACAATCTACTAGTACAACATCTCGCGAACCAGTTTTCTGTAATTATTATAAGTACTTGAAAAAATGACAATATTGGTCAGGTTTTTGTTATAAAAATCAAGTGATCGCCTCAAATAAGAGTTTTTTGTGTAATTTGTGCGATATGGCGGGACATAAAATGTACTCTTAGACCGTGAGGAGGGACAAGGAACCTTAAGGTGGATTTTATCTAACAATTTAGTGCAATCAATTCGGCAATTAACTATTTTATATAATACCATAGTGTCCAAAAAAGTACGTCTAATTTGTAATGGGGTTATGTTATATTTTGAGACACAAGTCCTGTAATCGTTTAAAATATGTCCCGCGTTCTGGTCAGGGTTTCACCGTTTCGCTGAGCCTGCTAGGCTCCCCTCCAGACGCGAGCCTGTCGGAGGCGGCGGTATTCTCGTACGACTCTGTCAACGAGCGCGCGTCGCTGTCGCTGACGTTCCCGGCGCCGGGCGTGTACCGCGCCGCCGTCGCCTACGAGGGCACCGTGCTGCTCAACGGAGAATTCGACTGCATCGTACTATCAGGTATGTGGCGATGAAGTTTCTGATACTTTACAATGTGGTTTTACAAGTCTCTGATATTTGGGCTCTGTACGGGTTTAGCCGCACATTGACGACCTCCGTGGCCGAGTTGTTTGTACGCCGGGTTTCATGGCGTCGCCGACTCGAGAGGTCCCGGGTTCGAATCCCGGTGGGGGCAGATGTTTGTGTGATGAACACGAGCATTTGTACTCCAGTCATGGATGATTAATATGTATTTCTATATAAATATACTTATATGTATTCTGTCCGTTACCCTAGTATCCCATAACACGAGCCTTATAGTGCTTACTTTGGGGCTAGGCTAATTGGTGTGAGTGTTGAAAATATTTATTTATTTTATTGAACTCCTAATAAGTAGGTAAACACGTCATCTATACGATTTGTTGCGCAACATATTACTTTATAATTTATCAATGTTATTGTTTCGTGATAGTAAAATATTCAATCTAAAATTAGTGTCCATCCGGTAGCCTTATCAACCGCGCGTACTAACTCTTGCCTTTTCACCATACGTAAACTAGTCTTTTACCATACTTTAACTTTAGTTTTCTTGTGTATTTTAAAGACGTTGTTTTAGTAGTGTAAATTATCTTAATAAACTCTCAGGAATTATTTCCAGTGATTTTTGAATTGAATGTATACTAATGTAATATGTTACTTAAAAAAGCATATTATAGTATTAAGGAATTCTTAGAGGACAAATCTGTGTAAATGGATGTAGACTATGTGTTTATTTTAATTTGCATGCCTTGTGGTTAAATATGGAATAAGCGTACGTATCTCTTATCTATTAGACAAGTCCGTCCGTCCGTCCGTGGTGCTGTTTCAGCGGCCAAACCGTAAGAGATATATATAGAGAATGTTTAAGTTATAAGTTAAGAATAGTCTGATAAGACTACAAACCGGATGTGAGTAACGTAGCACTTCCGGTTTTCGAGAAATCACGTGATTTCTATTTCAAACGAAACCACACAAAATCTCCGAAGTTCTCAATTAATTAAATACATTTTTTTTTGTGAACATTTGGTTCACTGGTTTGCTAGTTATAATTTAACACCTTTGTATCACCTGTATTTGCAAATAAATACTTGATTGATTGATTGAATATCAAGTCGTTAACTCATGGTTTTTTCTTGTCATCCCGCAGAGAGCGACGCGGCGGTGGTGGCGCGTCAGATCGGGTCTCGCCGCGAGCACATCTGCTACGAGGCGCGGCTGCTGGGCGCGCGGCCCCGCCGCGTGCTGTGCTGCCTGGGCCCGAGGCAGTTCATCGTCAAGGACTACATATTCAAGTTCATACCCAAGCGGATCACCACTTTCCGCCTCTGCCCCTCCACGAAGGTATACACAGGAAGAAATCATTTGTTGATCAATAACGTTAACAAATACAAATAAAAGCATAAATAAAAACTGTCGCTGTGTTCCACTTGTCGTTTATGCCGATAAATGATGACACATGTATAATTTAGCTTTACTATTATATACTTATATATACGTCGACGACCTCCGTGGCCGAGTGGTTTGAACGCCGGGTTTCATGGTGTCGCCGACTCGAGAGGTCCCGGGTTCGAATCCCGGTGGGGGCAGATGTTTGTGTGATGAATACGAGCATTTGTACTCCAGTCATGGATGTTTAATATGTACTTCTATATCAGCTATACTCTAAGTGTGTTCCGCGGAACCCTAGGGTTCCGTGATACCTCTGTCGGGGTTCCGCAAGAATTTAGAAATAAAAAAATCAAAACACCTCTCTCTGGTCGCTCCGCGGCTGTGCGGACTCCGCGGCCGCGCGGAGACAAAACGCTATGAATGTTATTTATTTATTTATTTGTATTTGTATAAGCTTGTGTTACATTAGCTGGTACAATATCTCATAAGTTTGGTCTCAACAATTTTATACTTGTACAACGCGTTCGCTCTAAGTTTGCCGGTCTGTGGAATGCGCGTACCCTCCCCCACGTGACAACAAAACTTATAATGTGTCATAGTTTTACCCAAATATCTAACGTACACAATTTTTATTGTTACAATTAAATAAAAAATTTCGAACGTCATACACTCATACCTATCGCCAGCGGCAAACTTAAAACGAGCGGGTAGTATACTTGTAAGCGCTCAGTCTCTTTGATAAAAGCCGCCTCTGAATTAGACGCTATAGTTGTCAACTAGCGACTTTCGTCTCTAACTTCAAAGGATAAAGTCGATATTGTTTACAACGCTATTTTTAAATTTCTGTTTTTATTTTTGCTTTTTGTTTATCAAAGGTGCCGACTCGAGTATTTTCGAGAATATTTGAGATCGAGTCTAGGACTAAGTATAAAAGCGGCGATCGCGCGTTGGCGTCGTCAGTTGATGATTAGCGTTCGGAGCGATAAGTTACTACCTACTTACAAGCTCGCTAGCGAGAAACTGGTGTTCATTGTTTTACTGCCTGCTGTATTCTGTTGTCTCAGTTTTATACATTTCTTCCCTGTAGGTTCTAAATTTAGTCTCTTATACGCAGTAACGATTGTGCATTATTTAAACCCCACTATCCTGACTTGTAACATTATAAATAAAGAAGAATGGAACGTTGGCTTAAAGGTGTTAAACGTGTTCCAACAACATCTTCTAATGACGCTGAATGTTCAAAAGCAATGCGCGCGGAGAATTTAGCAATCACCGATCCAGAAGATGATGCCACGAGTGCCACGACGTCAAGCTCGACGGTTTCAAAGACGAAAAAAAGGAAGTATGATGAATCTTATATCAGTTTCGGATTTGTTGATTCCAACGGCTCACCTCTCTGCATGCTCTGTAGTAAACTGCTTCCTAATAGTTCCATGGCACCTGCCAAATTGCGTCGACATTTAGAAACCGTACACCCCGAGACTAAAGACAAGAATAAAGAATTTTTTGTTCGCAAAAAAGATCAGTTATTAGAAAGTCAAAAAAATATGATGCATGTAACACAAACTACCAACGAAAAGGCCACGGAGGCATCATACTTAGTTAGCTATCGCATTGCACAAGCAGGTGAAGCGCACACTATCGCTGAGAAATTAATAAAACCATGTGTATTAGACATAACAAAATGTATGCTTGATGAAAAATCTGCAAAGCATCTTTCTACTGTTCCGCTATCAAACGATACTGTTTCACGACGAATCCATGATCTGGCAAGCTACGTCAAACAAGAACTAGTTACACGTCTACAAAATACACGATTCGCTTTGCAAATGGACGAGTCGACTGATGTCGCTGGTTTGGCTATCCTGCTGGTTATTGTGAGATATCCATATAAAAGTTCTTTTGAAGAAGACATGCTTATGTGTTCATCGCTGCTTACAAACACTACCGGGGAAGAAATTTTTAATAAAATAAATATATTTTTTGAAGAACATAATCTCAGTTGGAACAATTGCATTGACATTTGTACAGATGGGGCCAAGGCGATGACAGGTAAAACAGCAGGAGCAGTGTCACGAATGAAAAATAAAGCGCCTAATTGTAGTTCCAGTCATTGTATTCTGCATAGACAAGCACTTGCGATGAAGCAAATGCCGTCTAATCTAAAATTAGTTATGGATGAAGCGGTAAAAATAATTAATTTTATCAAATCACGACCACTACAATCCCGATTGTTCTCATTATTGTGTGAAGATTATGGCAGCAAACATAAAACACTGCTGCTCCATACAGAAGTGCGATGGCTGTCTCGGGGAAAAACTTTAACAAGGCTATTTGAACTTAGAGCCGAGTTACAAATGTTTCTTTCAGCAGATACTTCTTTTAATTTGAAGGACCGTTTGTATGATAAAACTTGGTTGTTCCGATTGTCTTTTATGGCGGATATCTTTCAAAAACTTAACGAATTAAATTTATCATTGCAAGGTAAACAGACAACAGTGTTTCAGGCCTATAATAAAATAACTACTTTTAAAAGAAAATTAGATTTTTGGATCATTTGCATTGGTAAGAAAGAAATAGAAAGTTTTACGTTACTCACTGAGTTTGTTAGCGAAAACGACTCAGAAATGTTTGAAGATAATGTGTTTGAAGAATTGGTCCAATATCTCAGTTCGATGCGCGCATCTTTTGAAAAGTATTTTCCCGAAGAACACAATACAAAAATTAAAGTGAACTCCTGGATTCATAATCCTTTTTTACCCAACTTGGAAAAGCCTGAAAACATGTCAAATGAGATATATGAATCTCTTTTAGAAATGTCATCAGACACAAGTATGGAGTCATTGTTCAAAACGACGCCTCTTAATGATTTTTGGTGCAGAATCCAAGATGAATATGCAATGCTTGGCCAAATGGCTCTGGATATTCTTCTCCCGTTCCCAACTACATATTTGTGCGAAACAGGATTCTCTACCTACGCAGCCACGAAAACAAAATATCGCAATAGACTGGACGCCGAAGCTGATATGAGACTCCAACTTTCTTCCATCAAACCTGATATCAAGCAATTGATGAAAAATAAAAAACAGTTTCATACCTCCCACTAGTTAGATTTTTTCTTTTTTAATGTTTTCTATTATTGTCCTTACCAAGTGGTGAAGTAAATAATAATTAGTAACGGATACATTGTACTTTTATTATGCTGATTAATATAGAATACACTTATAAAAATAATTGTTTTATTGTAGGGTTCCATCAAGTATTTTGCTTCCCAAAAGGGTTCCGTCATTTAAAAAGTTTGAGAACCACTGTTCTATATAAATATACTTATATATGTATAGTATATGTATTCTATCCGTTACCCTAGTATCCCATAACACAAGCCTTATAGTGCTTAGAATGGGGCTAGGCTAATTGGTGTGAGTGTTGAAAATATTTATTTTATTTATTTATTTATTTACTATTGATTTACCATTTGGAAAGTAAAGTATCACGTTATAATGGTGCCAGTTGACGCTGCTCGCCCGCGAGGAGTCCGACACGGGCCCCGCGGGGTCGCTGGTGGTGGAGGACGGCGTGCAGGCCGCGCTGTCACTGTGGGCCCCGCGCCGGGACCTGCTGGCCGCGCACTTCACGCAGCTGCTGCGGCACCACGCCGGCGCCGACGACTGCTTCAAGGTGGGGGGGCCGGGGGGGGGCCGCGCTGTCACTGTGGGCCCCGCGCCGGGACCTGCTGGCCGCGCACTTCACGCAGCTGCTGCGGCACCACGCCGGCGCCGACGACTGCTTCAAGGTGGGGGGGCCGGGGGGGGCCGCGCTGTCACTGTGGGCCCCGCGCCGGGACCTGCTGGCCGCGCACTTCACGCAGCTGCTGCGGCACCACGCCGGCGCCGACGACTGCTTCAAGGTGGGGGGGCCGGGGGGGGCCGCGCTGTCACTGTGGGCCCCGCGCCGGGACCTGCTGGCCGCGCACTTCACGCAGCTGCTGCGGCACCACGCCGGCGCCGACGACTGCTTCAAGGTGGGGGGGCCGGGGGGGGCCGCGCTGTCACTGTGGGCCCCGCGCCGGGACCTGCTGGCCGCGCACTTCACGCAGCTGCTGCGGCACCACGCCGGCGCCGACGACTGCTTCAAGGTGGGGGGGCCGGGGGGGGGGCCGCGCTGTCACTGTGGGCCCCGCGCCGGGACCTGCTGGCCGCGCACTTCACGCAGCTGCTGCGGCACCACGCCGGCGCCGACGACTGCTTCAAGGTGGGGGGGCCGGGGGGGGCCGCGCTGTCACTGTGGGCCCCGCGCCGGGACCTGCTGGCCGCGCACTTCACGCAGCTGCTGCGGCACCACGCCGGCGCCGACGACTGCTTCAAGGTGGGGGGGCCGGGGGGGGCCGCGCTGTCACTGTGGGCCCCGCGCCGGGACCTGCTGGCCGCGCACTTCACGCAGCTGCTGCGGCACCACGCCGGCGCCGACGACTGCTTCAAGGTGGGGGGGCCGGGGGGGGCCGCGCTGTCACTGTGGGCCCCGCGCCGGGACCTGCTGGCCGCGCACTTCACGCAGCTGCTGCGGCACCACGCCGGCGCCGACGACTGCTTCAAGGTGGGGGGGCCGGGGGGGGGCCGCGCTGTCACTGTGGGCCCCGCGCCGGGGCCTGCTGGCCGCGCTGCCACTGTGTTATCTCAGATTATTTACTTCCATAGCATGCACTTTTCTAAATTTTGGGGGGACAAATGTTTGGAAGGTCTTAGTCATAAACTTTACTGAGGAGATTGTGGTGCCAGCTTACCGAACTGACTTCATAGAAGATTGATGAAAATAACGTAACTTAGGTTTCTAGGTTCTACGTTTGAAGAAATTGTGTGTGTTGACGTCAAGAAAAGCTTCAAAAAGTTTATGTGGACATGTGAACCAAAGTTTCAAATGCGACGTTGCCAGCTCAGGTAAAGAGTAATTCATATTAGGGGTTGTCCATTAATCACGTGAGGCTCGAAAGGGGGGGGGGGGGGTCCGTAAAAAAACACGAAATATCACAAGGGGGGATGGTGGGTGTAGTAATATATCACGTGTATTTACGTGGTCCGAGGATACTGTACATTAAATAATGTTCATGTATTAGTACAAAAAGTTTCATTATATTGATGTCAGTCAAAAACAACCTTTCTGTCTACCTCTAAAAGTTTAAAAAAATAAAATTCTTTGTAGGTACTAAAAATACACGTGATATGGGGTGGGGGGTGGCGGGCTAGACTTTAACCTCACCATGTATCACCAAGGGGGAGGGGGGGTTAAAAAATGCCAAAAAAAACATCACGTGATTAATGGACGGCCCCTTAGATAAATTACATCTAAGCATTTAGTTTGTATGAAAATAAAAAATGTTAAAGAAATTGGAATTCATAAAAGTGTCCATAGTAATAAATGATCAATTTAATAGTCTGAATAACATGCCAAAGTTAGTGTATAACCTCAGGAACACGGTGTATAGAATTATAATACGTTTCCTTGTCGGTTTTGCGCAGAACAAACAGGAGTACTTTTACGCGGCCCTGCGCAAGCTTCACGCGCGGCACCCGCACGACAAACTGCCGTTGCGCGTGCGACGCGACGATCTGGTCCGGTCCGCGTTACGGGCTACCAAGCACTTCACCATCGCCGACTGGTGCAAGAGCTTCGACGTCAGCTTCCATGGCGAACAAGGTAACTATGAGTAACTTGATTTACATAGTGAATATTTAGATTAAAACAAAAAGGGTAGTTACGGTACGCTCATACTAGCATCAAATAAAATATGATCCGACTCACTACATTCAATCGAGCTAGCGAGACAGAACTGTTACTATTTTGCTCGCTCTGCGTTGCAGCGATTCGATGGGTACTGTAGTACATTGACATTTCGCTTTGCAAACTATTCTAATTCGATATTGGTTCGTGCTAGTGCTACTGTACGCTTCAACGCAGAGCGAGCAAAACAGCGAATCAGTTTCCGAGTGCGAACGGCTGAGCTGTATTGTTGTCCTTTTCTTTATAACAAAATGGAGATTACATGAATAACATTCACGACAAACCGTGATTTTTGAGAAAAAAATGATTTTACAGTTTTATGTATGAGAAGTGTTGCCGAGGTATTTGTTATTTGATTTTGAACTATTTGTGTAAATTTTAAAAGCATCGAAGGCATTGTATTATCTTCATAACACAGAATATACGCTATACTGAGTGTACATGCAACGTGTTTGAATGTCCAATTGTGACTAGGGCGAATTGTGATCGTGCACCACAATTTAAGCGGATCACTTTTGAGCCGCAAGTGCCGTATCTACCTTTTAGTTTTAATCTAAGATTAGAAATTGGTAAATGTCTAGTGAGGATTTTTCTTTTCCAAAGCTTAAACACAGCCCACTCCAATTTCAGACTTGTTACATGGTCGATGTACGGGCAGAACAATTCTATATGTTTTAGTATATTGTTAACATCGACGCTGCGTGCGACTCACTATGCCTTTTATTACGTTAATTGAACAGTAGCAATAAATGACTCGTATAAACAACATCGTTTTAGCATTTACCAGAACAACATTTTCGGGACAGTTTTTCGGAAACTATCATTATATCAACCTAATAATGTCCCAACTGCTGGGGCATAGGCCTTCCCTATGGATGGAATAGGAAGATTGGGTCATGACCCACAACGCGGGCCCAGTGCCGATTGGCGGGTGCTATCGACTGCAGTTGCAGCCACAACGCCATAAGTTTGAGGCGCGAGTGGTTCTCGTTGGTGTGCGGTCAGCTGTTCGACGCCGGGTTCGGTTAGGAATGAGGCAGTCAGAGGCTAAGGATAATGTCTGAGTGGAGTGTATACGCAGGCGTGGACTGGGGCGGGGTGAGGCGCGAGTGGTTCTCGTTGGTGTGCGGTCAGCTGTTCGACGCCGGGTTCGGGTTGTTCGCGGCGCTGCACGACGCGCCGGCTGCGTTGGTGCATCCGAATCCTGCGCGACCGCCACATCTCAAGGTACTTACTTCTTTCCAAAGAAAAGTTTATTATAAGATTCCGTACCCTTCGTTATTCGAATCCCGTTTTTATAGTAATTTTCTCATAAGATTGAAAAAAATCAATTAATGTACTTGTTTCTGCTTTTTTGATCCTTTCAAAATTTCATAATCAAAACTGAGATATCCAATATAGTATTTTTTTTTTGAAAATATTTTAAAATTTTATATATACTCGAAAGAATCAGTAGTCTGTCCCTCGGAACTTGCATATCATATCTTATAAAATATTGGTAACTTTTTACTTGCGATATCGGACTTTATTAGAGATTAACCATAAATTACGTCATACTCTAAAGCGAGGGTTGAAATCGATTTGTGATATTGTGTGACGAGGAATGGGAGAAATCATAAGTTTCGGAACGACACATTTGAAAAGCAACTTTATTGAACCCAGTTAAATTTAATTCTTTTATAATGACGTGCTTGAGAGTGAGGAGGGGCGTCTAAAATTAATATAATTCACATGACGTCATTTATGAATGGTCCATTACAATCAGGGCCGGATCAAGAGGTGTAGAGGCGCTGGGAGTACGAAGGCGCGGGGGCTTATTTTACGTCTTTGCCTCAACCGTTGCACTCTCTAAAGTTGGTAATCCGTCCAAAGTTGGTTATTTTTTTATCTCCTTTTCCTCTCTCAGCCGCAGCTCCGCCTGCCCTGTCTTAAATCGGGCCCTGGTTACAATGTATGTGTTGTAGGATGATTGGATAAATCGTATTTTACCAAAAATCGAAAAATGCGATTTTTTTTTGTGCCTGGGTACACACTCGATAAGGTTAATGTTTCCAACCAAAACGCGCAAGCGAGCCGCAGCAGCGGCCAGCAAATTGCCAGAAAAAAAAAATCTTTACTGTAAGATTGAGCAATGTTCTATTGCCATTGTCTAACTATCCGCGTTTTCGCAGAACCCATGAATTTCGCAGGGTTTTCGCGAGATCCACTTATCAAATTATCCTACGACATATACAGGGTGTTACAGAAATACAAATAAAAAAGAAAAGTTTACTAGAAAAAAATCCACGCGGACCAGGCAGCGGACTGGTCCGCGTGGATTTTTTTCTAGTAAACTTTTCTTTAGATTTAAACATCTAGCAGTTAAATGCTTAAAAAATAAATAAAATCATAAATACAAATAAAGCTTGAAGGGCGTTGAAGTTCATCATATAAGGAGTCTTCTCTAATTTTCTTAAAATATTTGCATGAAGTTTTAAGTTTTTATAAAAACGGTTATTTTTAATGATCCTCGAACTAGTGACGTGTCTTGAAATGATCGATATTTTTATTAATCATTAAAAATAACTGATTTTATAAAAAGTTAAAGCTTCATGCAAATATTTTAAGAAAATTAGAGAAGCACGAAACTTTATTTATTTATTGACGTTTCGTAGCCTTTCCAGGCTTCGTCGTCAGAATAAAACTTTTGTTTTAATGAGTGATGTGCGTGAAAACTTAAGAAACAAAAAATTAGAGAAGACTCCTTATATGATGTAATTCAACACCCTTCAAGCTTTATTTGTATTTTTGTAACACCCCGTATATTTAAATAAATCGTTTTTATACTATGTATGTATAAAAATGTATGTTTGTTATCGTTTGAACGTACTCGTACCTGTGCCAGCTGAAATACTTCGAGCTGGCGGGCAAGTTGGTCGGCAAGTGCCTGTACGAGTCTGCGCTGGGCGGGCCCTACAGGCAGCTCGTGCGCGCCAGGCTCACCAGGTCCTTCCTTGCGCAGATCATTGGCCTGCGAGTGCACTATAAGGTACCTCTTATCTATTAGACAAGTCCGTCCGTCCGTCCGTCCGTGGTGCTGTTTCAGCGGCCAAACCGTAAGAGATAGATATAGAGAATGTTTAAGTTATAAGTTAAGAATAGTCTGATAAGACTACAAACCGGATGTGAGTAACGTAACACTTCCGGTTTTCGAGAAATCACGTGATTTCTATTTCAAACGAAACCACACAAAATCTCCGAAGTTCTTTTTTTTTTTTTTTGGGTGTACATTTGGTTCACTGGTTTGCTAGTATTCATTATAATACTATATCATTGTTCCAGCGTTACTGTGTTAGCTTATATTCTTCAAGTTGTTTGGCAAATGCTTAAAAGTATCGATGGATATGCAATTTTGTCATAGTTACAAACTGTAAATGTCAAATAAGCCCGCTGATCCTTTCCTGCTCAGATCATTGGCTTGCGGGTGCATTATGGTGGGCCGCACTGGGCCTGGTCTTGGCCCAATCTCCCTATTCCATCCATAGGGAAGGCCTGTGCCCCAGCAGTGGGGACATTAATAGACTGATGATGATGATGAAGCTTAGACTAGGTACGCCATGTTTTGTTCATGTGACTCAAATGCGATTTGTCATTCAATGAACAAAGATAAAACATGAAGTAACTAATCCGAGCTAAGTCTTCCTTTATTAATATGAGGGGAAAACATTTTACTTGACGTTTCAACTCTTTATTGATCTTGAGATTTCGACCTTATTGCGATGCGAATTCTTCTACTCAGATTTCAATGAAACGAATTCCAAGTTATAGTACCTGACCATGAGGAGCTCGATGGCGCAGGTGGTTAGCGCGTCCGGCTGCGATAGTTGAAGTTAAGCAACTTTCGCAGTGGTTGGTCATTGGATGGGTGACCAAAAATTTACTATCTCGAGCCCCTCCGTGCTTCGGAAGGCACGTTAAGCCGTTGGTCCCGGCTGCATCTGCAGTCGTTAGCACCCGCCAATCCTCGCTGGGCCCGCGTGATGGGTCATGATCCAATCTTCCTATTCCATCCATAGGGCAGGCCTGTGCCCCAGCAGTGGGGACATTAATAGGCTGATGATGATGTACGATAATTGAATGTCTTCGTCAGTATTTCGAACAAGACGACCCCGAGTTGTACCTGACGAAGATCAAGTACGTACTGGAGACTGATCTGGACGCCAATGATGCAGCGCCCGAGATCTACTTCTGCGACGACGTCTACGAGAACGGACGGTTCGTGTGTACGCACGATCTTATACCCAACGGCTCCAATATAAGGGTGAGTTTGCTTTGATTAAGAGTTGATTCTGCTGTAGTTTAGGATAAAAAATTCTCGAGATCTGCTTCTGCGACGACGTCTACGAGAACGGACGGTTCGTGTGTACGCACGATCTTATACCCAACGGCTCCAATATAAGGGTGAGTTTGCTTTGATTAAGAGTTGGTTTTTGTTGTAGTTTAGGATAGAAAATTCTCGAGATCTGCTTCTGCGACGTCTACGAGAACGGACGCTTTATGTGTACGCACGATCTTATACCCAACGGCTCAAACATAAGGGTGAGTTTGCTTTGATTAAGAGTTGGTTCTGCTGTAGTTTAGGATAGAAAATTCTCGAGATCTGCTTCTGCGACGACGTCTACGAGAACGGACGGTTCGTGTGTACGCACGATCTTATACCCAACGGCTCTAATATAAGGGTGAGTTTGCTTTGATTAAGAGTTTGTTCTGCTGTAGTTTAAGATAGAAATTTCTCGAGATCTGCTTCGTCGCGTCTACGAGAACGAACGGTTCGTGTGTACGTACGATCTTATATCCAATGACTGGAGTATAAGGGTGAGTTTGCTTTGACAGCGAGCCAACGACGCGGCGCCCGAGATCTACTTCTGCGACGATGTTGCTTATTAGTTAATCAATATTGTTTATAATGTCAAGAAGTCGAAAAAGTTTTTGTTACTTTTACGATTTTAAAAGGAATTTCGAAATTCAAACCACTGTTCGAATAAGCATTAAAAATATATTATACGAATAGTAGTTATAACATTTGCCACTAGATGGCGCTGTACCATGATGAATCGCGCTAAACTTTCGCGTCAGTGTTTTAGATAAAAGGAATTGGTAACAAATAAATTCTTCTCGTTTTCGCCTTGGACACAGTTTTGTCTTTTTATTTCGTCTACGTATTCAAAAGGAAAAAGCGCGAGAAACCCTTTTTTCATTTTTTATGTGGGATCTGTACACCACCTTCTATTCGTTCACACATAACCGTGGCGCGCCCGCCCCGCCTACAGAGCCCTCGTCACTTCAATTCTGTATTCCGTGGTTTCACTAATTTCACAGTTACGTAAGATTTAGACTTCGGTCGACCGGTCGAATGTTAAAGTGTCCGATGTTCGGTCAGGTGCGCAACTCGCACAAGCTGCAGTACTTGGACCTGGTGGCGCAGTGGCGGCTGGCGGCGCGCGTGGGGCCGGAGACGGGCGCGTTCCTGCGGGGGCTGGCGCTGCTGGTGCCCGACACGCTGCTGGCCGCCTTCGACGAGACCGAGCTCGAGCTGCTGCTCTGCGGCTCCGGGGACCTGGCGCCCGCCGACTGGCGCGCCCACGCCGTGCAGGGTGAGTGCTCCAACTAGCACTAATTAACCACAAAAAACTTACTTATGGTACTAACATTAGCTTTAATTATAATTTTTTTTTTTTTTTTTTTAAATTATAACTATAATTGATATTTCTTCTTTCAAATGTTTAATACTTGTAAAAGTATTCATTTGACATTGTGGGTTTACCTATAATGCGAAGAGATGGCGCTGCCTTGCAGCTTAAGAATAGCTAGAAGGAATTTCGACGCGGTCCGTGAGGGCCGCGGTAGCATAATTGGTCAGTGCATTCGCCCGGATTGCGAAGGGTGCGGGTTCGAGTCCCGTCTGCTGCCTGGTCCGCGTGGAATTTTTTCTAGTTATATTTTCTTTAGATTAGCTTTAATTGCTATTTAATCCAGTTCAATTGTTATGAAACCATACACGACGTTGTATTCTTACAATGTGGGACAAAAAATTGTTGTGTTCGTTAGTAGTTTAGTCACTGCTCACTATGGGAACGTAACACAAACTTTTTTAACGTATTAATAGCTGGCCAGCTAATTAGCGACAGTAAAAGTTGTGTTATGAATTTAAACTACTGACGGACACAAGTATATTTTATCCCACATTGTAAGAATACGACGTCGTGTATGGTTTAATAACAATTAGACTAGATTAAATTCCAATTTTAGCTAATTTTAGTACCATAAGTAAGGTTTTTGTGTTCAATTAGGGAGTGTCTTTAATTATGTGACCACCACTGTATCAACAAAACAGAAAAATATTTTAATCCGATTTTTCTAAAAATATTATATTGCCCAGTTGATCCTATGTTCATTAGACCAAGATTTGATTCACCAAGAAGACGTCTGTTTTGAAAGGAACTCTGAAAATTATAAACACAGCGTTTTAAACTCATCATAGCTATGATTGTTACTATTATTGCAGGCGGGAGCGGTCGCGACTGGGAACGTTTGATGGGGTGGTTCTGGGCCGCAGTGGAGAGCTTCACCCCCGCGGAGAGGGCGCGCCTGCTGCAGTTCACCACCGGCTGCAGCCAGCTGCCCCCGCGCGGCTTCCAGGTCTATACACCCCACACTCATATCACTATCATCACACTCATGTCCACATAGCCATCACACACCTCCCCTTGTCATCACATATATCCACCCAATCAGCTTCTCTCCGTATTCATCACACACCTCCCCTTGTCATCACATATATCCACCCAATCAGCTTCTCTCCGTATTCATCACACACCTCCCCTTGTCATCACATATATCCACCCAATCAGCTTCTCTCCGTATTCATCACACACCTCTCCTTGTCATCACATATATCCACCCAATCAGCTTCTCTCCGTATTCATCACACACCTCCCCTTGTCATCACATATATCCACCCAATCAGCTTCTCTCCGTATTCATCACACACCTCCCCTTGTCATCACATATATCCACCCAATCAGCTTCTCTCCGTATTCATCACACACCTCCCCTTGTCATCACATATATCCACCCAATCAGCTTCTCTCCGTATTCATCACACATCCCATTACATTTCGCCAGTCATTGGGAAGGCTGCTTAACTTTGACGACTGCAACCATTTCATTTTAGTAGTTCTATTAAATACTTTCTCCTCTATCTTAGACAGAGAGAGAGAGAGAGAGAGAGAGAGAGAGTGATAGAGAAACATTTTTCACATTACATCACAAAACAACATACACAAAAAAACGACGGGAGTGCCGGCAGAAGTGAAAACTTGAATATTAACGTTGTGCATTTTTGATATTTTGGAATGGTTAGAGAATAATTTTGCACAAATTGCTTTAATTATCAGTATAAAAGTACTATCATGTATGTGGTAGAATACAATATTTATTTATTGTGCTATCGTACACAAACATGACCATTTATATTACATAAATAAAGTTTTTCTCTCACATAAATCAACTTACATGAATCACGTTTAAGCGCACTTAGCGACATCTATTGTAAGGAAATCAACTTACATGAATCACATTTAAGCGCACCCAGCGACATCTATTGTAAAAAAATGCATTTACTTCGCAATAAAGCTGCCACGTGGACGTCCTAGATAGAAACTTATTATTATAATACGATGAAATAAAATATTACTATGTTTCGTCCAATATATTGAAAGTCAACAATTTCCAATTTTATTGTGTGTCATGATGCGATCAGCCCACGCGTTTAACCTAACATTTTTTACCCATACAAAAAAAAGTGTACAACGCCGCTAAAGAAGTTTTCACTTCATAAATAACATTTAAAAAATTATAGTTAATGTAAAGAATAAAAATAAAGACAAAAGCAGATTAATTTTATTATCATTAATGGTCAATTAGCACCCTGTTGCAACACGCCACAAAGCGTGTCACAGCAGCGCTGGTATTCTGGCAGGGTCTGATCTTAACCGTAATAAAGTCAAACATTTGTTTCATATCATAATTGTACAAAAGATGGTAGGTATATAATATAATCGACCGAATTATGTTACCCATTTGGGCATAGCAAAGTAAATTGTATTAGCGTGCAACGGACATACCATAAATATAATTATAAATAGTAGATTATTCATTATTCCTAATTTTACTTCTTTACTACTACTATTATATTTATAATTTAAATTATTTTACTCTTATTATTATTAATTTTAGTTAATAGTACATTACGATACGCGTGACCTAAGTTGCCTATTACTGCACGGCGTGAAGTTAGCGTCCGGTGCTAAACGCCGTGCAGTAATAGACAACTTAGGCCACAAGTATCGTATACTATTTTATAGCAAGTGTGACATAAACCCGCCCCGGACGCGGGCAAGAGGGAAGTGGGCAAAATATGCGAGCAGCACGTCTTCGCAAAACGAATTCGATTTATTCTCTCGTCGCCATTTTTTAAATGCATTATACGCTGCTGTATACAGCCGTTACGATTTTTGTGGCAACAAATTCAATGTCACCGACTTCGCCACTTCTTTAATTGCGTCCGGAACAATTTCACCGTTCTCGTATTCGCTTAGGTCACTATCCGAACTGGCCATTTTCGACCAAAAGATACAATTCTCGCGGAATGAATTATAGCTAACCGTTTCTCCTTGTTTTGGCTGTCACTGAAAATCCCTAACCTATCGCTAATTTGTCATTTGTTTGCTGTGAGTTTTTAAGCTCCAAATGACATTTAAATGTGTTTCCTTTTATTTTTTCTACATGAGTGAAGTTGGTCAATTCATTTACACACCGTGCAGAAATAGGCAACTTAGGTCACGGAAAAGCGTGCGTAAAGTGCGGGTTTAGGTCACACTGTGCTATAAAATACATTAAATTTCTCATTATAATATTCATTTAATAACTGTTCTCCTTCATAATATAATACTGACAGACTGCTTTTATGTTGTAGGAATTGAACCCGCGTTTCCAAATAACTCCAGCGCCGAACTTCGGTGCGCTCCCGACTGCCCATACTTGCTTCAACCAGTTGTGCCTTCCCGATTACGACGGATACGAGCAACTCGTGAAGGCTTTACTTTGGGCCATCAACGAGGGGGGAGAGGGGTTCGGGATGATATAGAATGTATCTATCATACATTCATACCATTCATTTTGACTACAATAGCTGCGAAAAAATAGTCGTGGCAATTACTTTGAGTTGAAAGCATAGGGTGAAAAGATTAGAACTAAATCTATCACTCTATCACACACTTTTAAGTGCAAAAGTTACGAAAAAGATTTTCTAGCCAACACTGCAGATATAAAAATATAAAGAAAGACATTCCATAATTTGTATTTAATGTTTCTTACTGGTGTTCTGGCGTACGATATCCCCAGTAAGAGATAGTAACTATGTTATATTTCAATAATTATTAAAAATTCGTTTGCTATTTTTAATTGTCAAAACGAAGCTCTGTTAGGTAATTTTACAAGAAATAGATTCTTGAAAACAGTCATTACTTTTATATATATATTTTGTTTTTAAGTATTTAACTCTAGATGTTTAAATCTATAGTCTGTTCGAAACGAATTTAGACCAAAAGTAAACAAACACTTAATCCTAAAATTAATTAATTTAAAAATAATAATAATTAAATAAATCTTAATCTAAATTTTATCTCCTAATTCCCACGCAATGAGTCACTAAATTTATTGCTCAACATATTCATTTGCATTTTTAGGGGTTAGACTTATTAATGCACTATCTTTTATGGCATTAATATCTTTATAAATATATAAAAAAATTAAAATAAAAAAGAGTCAAAAAACAAGGTTATTTTGAAAGATGGGAATAGGGATGATGACTATTTTTTTTTCTTCGTTTATCAGGTAGATTATCAAAAAGTATTGGACACGTATTTTTTCTTTTTTCACATAATATAAACATTGCAGAGATATATTGATTTGAAAAGTCGCATGACGTCACGTTTGAGTACACTTATAAGGGAAAATTTACTCAAAAGTGACGTCACGAGCCCCTACTCCCAAACTTTGACGCGCTATAACTTTGTCATTTTTTGGTTGATTGCCCAAAGAAAAAATACGTGTCCATTATTTTTTGATCATCTAACTGACGGACTAAATAGAATTTCGTTTACTGTACCCCGTCATCACCCCTATTGTCTGTTGTCTATGGTTGAACAGTTTTGCACCGTAAAGTCTATTCAAAATGATTTCAATTGACATTAGTAATCAAATAGTGAATCGATTTTTATTCAAACTGATAAGTAACATAATTAATAATACAGTTTATGGAACGTAATTTTTTTGTTAATGCAAATATGAGCAATTAAGTTGGTATTTTGTTTTTAAGTTTTAATGTGTGGGATTTTAATTACTCGCTTATTGTTTCATCCTGCCCCTCTAGCATTATCACCGAAACGGGATATGATAAAGCGATATATCGGCATTAACTGTCAAAATACAGTGGAGTTTGACAGTAGTCTGACAGTTAATGCCGATATATCGCTTTATCATATCCCGTTTCAGTGGTCATGCTAGAGGGGCTGGATATTAAAATATAAAAGCGGTATAGTTTTGATTTACTTGTAGCACGCAGATACCTATATATATAAAACTCAAAGGTGACTGACTGACTGACATAGTGATCTATCAACGCACAGCCCAAACCACTGGACGGATCGGGCTGAAATTCGGCATGCAGATAGATGTTATGACGTAGGCATCCGCTAAGAAAGGATTTTGATCAATTCTATCGATTCTATAGCAAGCGAGGGCGGGCCACTTGTAATTGATAAATATACGACGTCGACGAACCTAGATATTCAATAAATCACGGAAACCAATCGTTCAAAAATAGTTTTATTATCTAACAAAATCTAGTTAACTATATTGTCATGTACAGTTAACAGTCAGAGTTATTTTTGGAGTAATGATGATAAAAAATTATTAATGCTACAAATTAAGGCTTAAAAATCTCTATCAGTTTCTATGAATATGATCATTCAATTGATCAATTGATTTTGATAAGGCTCTACGGATCCTTATCACTAAATTATCTATGGTCAGACTTACCTACCTCTTTCTTTACTTTCGGTCTAAATTCGTTTAGAAACAGACTATAAAGAAAAACTTTACTAGAAAAAAATCCCCGCGGACCAGGCAGCAGACGGGACTAAACGCACGAATGCATTAAGCTTCCGCGGCCCTGATGGTCGTGTCGATTTTTCTCTAATATTTCTAAGGCTGAAAGGCAGCGCCATCTCTTCGCATTGTAGGTAACCCACGATGTGAAATTAATACCTTTACTTAAACATATTTTTTCTTTTGATAACATTGATCTCGGCGATGTTATGCAATATATTATTAATTTATTTTATTCATATTCTTTTGTACTGTTTACGGCATAAGTTATGTCTCTTTTCCATAAGATTTTTAACCTCGCTACATTTGGTTGGGAAAATTATTTCATATCTTATTACTTTGAATATATATGCCTGATGAGTACAGGATAAGGTGTTCATGTATACTATAGAATCTACTTAGGACGTTAATGCAATAAATACTAGACTTGCAACGAATAGTATATTCGGCAGTATACCGAATATTCGGCGAGCCCCCTGACCGAATAGCCGAATATTAGACAAAAGTATTCGGCTGGATTTTAGCGCCAAAAACTTGTACAGACGTGATTGTTTCGCGCTCCTTTATTTTGTTCTAATCTGCCGTCCTCAAGCTAAAATGCGGCTAAATGACAAAACCAACTTTTGAGATATGGCCAAAACGGCGCGTAAACTTCAAATTATTGCTATTCTGTAACCATTTATCACATGACTGAATGAATTAAAACGGTTAACTTGTTTAATACAGAAAATGATTAAATTATGTTCCTGTCTTATGTACCAATGACTACTTAATAAATGATTATAAAAGAAATGAGAACCTTACCCCTCTAAATTTTGATTACCACAATAAATAAAACTAGTTTTTACGGGTTAATGCAGCTACGTTCGAAGTCTTTCGAAGGTAGCTCGACATTTTTAAATAAAAAATCATTATTCTGACGATGCAGACCTGAAAAGGCTGCGAAACGTCAATAAATAAATAAAGTTTCGTGCATTAACCCGTAAAAACTAGTTTTATTTAATGAGTAATGTGCGTGAAAACCTAAGAAACAAATATACCACAATAATTCAAATACATAGAATCCTCTATTTTTCCAATTCAGAAGAAGATTATGTACCTGTGTTATGTACCAATGACTACTTAAATGATTATATAACAGAAATTAAAATATGAATATATACGTAATCAATCGATTTTAACTTTTCATTTTACCAATTATATCTCTATGACAAAATATATTATTTAAGTATTCGGTATTCGGCCGAATAATATGTAGATATTCGGTATTCGGCCGAATATAATAAAAGCCGCCGAATAGGCCGAACACCGAATAGTAACCGAATATTCGTTGCAAGTCTAATAAATACACAAAAAAGTTGGCCTAAAATCTAGTAATTCTGCATGTTACTCAAAGATTACATTTACCTCTCAGATGGCGTTAGTTACAACGAACAATTGCCGCCGTCTAATGTTATCGTAATTATAAGTGCAGCGTTGATCTTATATTAGATCAAAGTACTACAACGACATATCGGGTTATTCAAATTAGCAATCAGCCCCCCCATAGCATGAGTACCGGGATATGATATGACAAAGCTGTTAATGGACATTCAACTATTAGTATCTAAGTACAGAGCCCTTTTAAAAATATACAAAAATAACCAAAGATTTAAGCGACGTAACCACTTTTTCCTTCTCGTGCAAAATGTGGTCTGTGTTTATTTTATCAGAAGGAATTAGCACTTCGCCTTCGCCGCACTTATAGACCAAGAGCTACTGAACGCTCCGAGTAACGGTCTGTCTGTAAGGCTAGAAATTCTTATGGTGATGAGTCATAGCATGCTTAGTACGGTAAGCATCGCCTGGCACTCCTCAGCCTTGCACGTCATCAAGCCATATATTTTTGAAAGTGTCAAAAAAATATTTACAAAAAACTTGTTGCTGTAAGCTTGAATTTTTTTTTCAATTTAGTTTATTCATTTTTAAGTTTAAAAAAAATTGCCAGGCGTTTTCGATGAGCACAAGTACCTGCCAGGCGAACCGGAATGTGTGTAATCTAATATATAAAATTCTCGTGTCGCGGTGTTTATGGTTAAACTCCTCCGAAACGGCTTTCCCGATTCTCATGAAATTTTGTGTGCATATTGGGTAGGTCTGAGAATCGGACAACATCTATTTTTCATACCCCTAAGTGATAAGGGTTGTCCACCCCTAACATTTTATTTTTTGAACAATTTTTTTTTATAATGCATTAAAAATAATACAACCCAAAATTTATGGCCCCTATTTTTATGGCGGTACGAAGTTCGCTGGGTCAGCTAGTATATACATAAAAATAATCTTTATTCTATAGAGTTGAAATTTATATGTGTTTATTTCAGCGATTTCAAGTAAGTAGGTAGAATGCCAGGCGATTCTGGCTAGCACAAGTCCTTGCCAGGCGAGGGGAAAGATGCTCTGGCAGTGCGAGTAAGAGTCGAGTATGACTTGATGACGTGCAGGGCTGAGGAGTGCCAGGCGATGCTTACCGTACTAAGCATGCTATGACTCAACACCATAAGAATTTCTAGCCTTAAAAACAGACCGTTACTCGGAGGGTTCAGTAGCTCTTGGTCTATAAGTGCGGCGAAGGCGAAGTACTAATTCCTTCTAATAAAATTAACAGAGACCACATTTTGCACAAGAAGGAAAAAGTGGTTACGTCGCTTAAATCTTTGGTTATTTTTGTATATTATTAAAAGGCACTTAGATATAAGAAATTGCCATATATTTATTCAGTTAGAAGTTATTTCTACAGTTTATGTTTATCAAAACATGCGGTAATAGACTTAAAAGTTATAGGTTTAGATTAAAACAAAAAGGGAAGATACGGTACGCTCATACTAGCATCAAATAAAATATGATCCGACTCAACTACATAAGCAACATTCACACACGCACACTTCTATAAATAAACATTCAATCGAGCGAGCGAAACAGAATTGTACGCTTCAACGCAGCGCGAGCGAAACGGCGCGAGACCGCATCGCTTGGCAGCCGACTGCATTGTCTTTTCTCTCTCTGCAGAGAAAATAATCAGTTACTAAACATTCATGGCAAACCGTGATTTTTGAGAAAAAAATGTTTATATAGTTTTACGAATGAAAAGTGTTGCCATGGCGTTTTTTATTTGATCTTGAACTATTTGTGTTCTTTATAAAAGCTTCGAAGGCATTGTTATATCTTTCTTACACAGAATATACGAAATATTGTTATATTGAGTGGACATGCATCGTGTTTGAATGTCCAATTGTGACTAAAGCGAATTGTGGTCATGCACCACGATTTAAGCGGATCTCTTTAGAGCCGCGAGTGCTGTTTCTTCCAATTTCGTTTTAATCTAAGGTTATAGGTATATAAAAAAAGAATTTCTCAAAAAAAATAAGATAGAGTCTGTGCGGAAAGAGAATGGGCGTGGCGAAAAACGGAA